ATCTACAGTAGAATTACGGACCGCAGGAAAGGTGTATATCCGTACAGATGGCGAAAAAAGGGGACGAGGAGAGACATTTACAAGAGACAAAGCGACAGTAAGACGAGAAGTGGGGGAAGATACGGACTTAGAGAAAACTCCTCGCATGCGGCCTTATCAGAAGTTGGGTAAGCAATCGCAGCGACCTTCCGTAACGCAGCAACTTAGCTAGAGAATTGTTCACGTGACGTTGGACGCGAGTGTGGAATTGCCTACCATGTTCCCATTCGTGCAGAGATGGTTGCAGAGCTACATTAAGTTTTGCAAACGTCTGTTCGTCTACTACGTCTCCAATGATGCCTCTCGAAGCCACAACTTTGTAAGCATCCGAGCTCGATATGCGGAAAGTTTCTCCTCTTCGAGGAAACGCCTAACGTACAAACGGGCTTGTCGTTCCTAATGTTCGTAATTCTCCCCAATACACAATTTCTCCGGGGGAGATGACTGAGGCGGCTCATGTACCCGGAACTTGCACACCAGCCGTACACACAGAGGTGGCTGGGCCGTAACCCGTTCCACTCTACGTGGGACCCCGCTTTGCACTTAGCCTCGTCACGAAGGTTGTACACCCTGTATCCCCCAGCAACAATTAGCAGTCTCCCAGAACCAATGGTTAAGCACCTTGTCGACGTTCACCTGTAGCGCAGTCAGGCTTGAAATATCAAACACAAACATGAGACAACTTACAGGTACTTGTACAGTCCAACCACCACGACGATGCGGCACATCTGCCGCTTTATTGACCTGGGTAAACAAGTGAAGTCAGAAGCAGTGTGATGTTTATGCACCGAAATCTGCCCGTTCAACCTACCACCACTTCTTTAACGTATGTTCTTTACGGCCACCTTGGTGACTTACCTGGTCGACTCGGTTGAGGCACACACGATTGCATCGGCTATAACGCCAGATGCTTGATAGCGACGAGCTGAATTCCAACAGCACCTGTCATTTGCGCAACTGGCGTTTCTCTTCCTGTCACAATAGCGTTTTCCCATACAGATGAGCAACGACATTCTTGGTGTGACCGCGCCATTCGTAAACATCCAATGTCACAGTAACCTCCAAATCTAAAAGTGTTTGCCGCTGACTTCGCTTTCCGGCTCTCTTTCTCCACTGCTTCATTAGATGAGCAATTTTGTAGATGTTGCGGGGCTGGCGCATCTTCGCAAAACTTGCGCGGATTTCGCCTGAGTTCACCTCAGCAATACTGTCACCATGCCGCGACTCAAACTGTGTAGGTTACAGCGGAATTGTTCTCAGTGAAACTGCTGTTATGTGTCAACGCAGACTCCGCCCAAGTTCTCCCGGCAACACTACTGTATCTACCACTACGTGGTAGTGCCCTGCCAATATTCACCTTCCTTTATTGCTGAAATATTCCTCTGCCATTTTGTTGAGCTATAAATACGAAGGTGTAGAATGGAGGATTTGCCTTTGGCGGAGTCAATAAACCAACTCTAGTTATCGTCCAGTCTTTTTTCTGGGTCTCATTGCGGTCGTACGAGGTTACGCGTTTCGTCTCCAGTTTGAATTCGCTTGTATATTCTTCCGACTAGATCACTTACGCAATACCGAGCCGAATTCACTTGTCTAATCTTTGCGTGGGTACTATCGGTGCCGACAGGACCTTAACTTGGTTCGTTGGTATGCGTGTCTCCGTGGCCCATTTGAGCTATACTTGGTGGCACGTTCAATTTGAGTAACTCATAGCAGACAGGTCGGACCATCTCAGTTACAGCATCCTCTTCGGAGATTTGGAGAGGTCACTGTCCCTCTTACAAAAATTAGTCATAAGATTTACGGGTTATAAACTCAGCTCGATTGGTGTACACCACGAACGCCACGCACTGTCTGACAGTTGGAAAGCACTGTCCGATGCTACCACTAGCCCCAAGCTAAACAGCCCCTGGTGATATTGGTGCGAACCAACCAATCCCCACTTTGACTTGATTCCAGGTACCTAACACACTACGGTCTAGAAACGCTTGTGAATTGTTCTTACTTTTAACTACTGCGTGTGATAGATGTCAAGCAGGTCCCAACGGAACGGGAATCGCATTCCCAGGTTGACTTGATCCCCACTTACTTTCCGAGTGTAGTCCCCCAAAGGAACAAATAGTGGCGATCTAATCCTGCAAATGTGTGCTGATCATAAACTTTATAGTATCAGCACTGTTTTCTAGCACAAACGTTCACATAGTGCAGTCTGGCGCCCACGGACATTTTCCATGACCTGCAATCAAATTGACTCCATTGCCATCAGCTTATCTGAAGAACCCGGGTGACTTATCAAAGACTCAGCCCGTCAGTCGAAGGTGGTTTTTATAACGCTGCGATAAGACTGGCGTTACTGTACCAATCAGGGACTTGTCCACTTTGCGCGAAAACATTAACGATTGGCCGTCTTTGATCAGCGGTGTTTACGGAGTATTTCCGACATATGGCGCGAACACCGAGTCGGTAGTGCTGAAGTCCACCAGTTTCTGTTGACAAGAAATTCTCAGGTGCCTCCCTAATGTGTTCGCTAATGCTTTGCTACTTACGTTGGCTAGATCAAATTATCAGTATGCCCATTGGCTTCTTCGTCTAGTATTACAGCTGTTGCTGCGCCGAGTTGGGCGAAACTGCGAACTCTCCAGTCGATGATGATGTCATGAAGACATTAACCGAATGACTTGGTCAGGCTAGCGCATGTCTTCGTGCATGGGGACCTCGGCATGGTATGTGCCGAGTGATCGAACTAACGGGCAGCTAGGGTGCTATTGTAACAATATGTAGCTGCAAAATATGTTTCCGCAGCTGTTGCAAGCAATGCTTAGAGTTGGCACCTTGATGGTGCCGCAAACAAAGAGTATTTTTGATTGTGACGAATTTGCCAAAATGCTGAAATGTGAGTGCTTTAAGTGGCCACTTTTCCATGTGAGCATACATAGATGTGGGCACTCACTTTTGGGATTCTTTTTCTATGTGCAATTTTCGCTTGGGCTTTCTTCCGGTCACCAAACTAAACAACAGCAGTTCAGGGTTCACACGATTGCATATATTGATATAGTTAGGGAAAAAAATATACGTTTATTTGTTCTTACCATCCAATGATAAGAGCACAGAATCTACAAGGCAAGCTACTGCAACTAAGTTGACTTCGAGCTGCTGTTTACGAGTCCGGGTCAGCACTCTACCAAAAATAAACCTCTCAAAATCCTTCGAAGCCACCGACTTGAAAGTAATATGCCGATATTTGCATATTCCTTCCTAAGGCTCCTGCGTGGTACTAGTCCACAGCTAGCAGTGCTATCTGATGCTGGTTCAAACTTAACTTGCACTGGCAAAGATAAATGTAGGTCAGGTAATCAACTCATTAATTGAACATGATAGAAAAATCTGCCAGGACAGGGTGGTTTGTTCGATTTTATCCGGAATAATACCCTGGGAATCGCTGAGCTATGGATAGCAATTGGATTATCTGAGAGCTATAGTAACACAGTGGATGACATGTAAGAGATTGAAGCAGAGTTCTCGTTTAATTCTGCAACATCCAGAGCAAACTGCATGATACCGCAGACGACTTTTCTTATCTGATTCAGCACGTTCTATATTCCCCGATAATTACTTTTTCTGTATACGGTTTGAACATCGGTGTTTCGCGGCGATGCAATTGATTTTTCAAATCAGTCAACAGAGGCTTAATTGAGGCAGTCTTTGCAGTTAAAAGCCTTTTCTCTTAGTCTTTATCCCCTTTTAATGCGCTGAGAGGACCCGTTTCCACGAACTACAGTTTTTTCTTCTGGACTGATTTACTACTGATAGTTAATTGTTGTAAGTGCGTTAGGCGAGCTGCAGCGACCAGTTTTTCGAACTTTCTATGTACTACTGTTAACTCTAACTATTACGTATGACATGTTTTCCAGTGTGCATACTTTCGTCACATGCCATCGTTTATCCGGTCCGCTCACGTTCACCCGTTTCTACGTTAGGGCTATGTTTTCCCTTGGTAGCACGCACGTTTCTGGCTTCTGGTATTCTTTGGTGTATTATTTTTATTTGACATCCAAGGCTGCAGCTAAGGCCAACAAAATGCCGTTTTCTTGGTTTGCTTGCTTTGAATTCCCGTTATATTAATTGTCTGTGCACGCAGTCTCAGTCGATACCACGTTTCGCTCTTAGGTGAGAAATGGTCAGGTCGATACCTGGGACTGTATTGTAAACAGGTAACTGTTAATTGTTACTCCCTTGCAACACTCTATGACTAGTCTACACTTTTCACTTAGGGATGGTCGACCTCTGCACCATTTTCTTGGCTTCCATGCACAGGAACTTTTATCATGGCTGTCTGTCAACCGTTGATCGAAAGAATTATACTCCTACAGTGTAATTCGGAGATAACCAGTTCGAATACATTTAGATGCTAGCGACCTTACGACTGGTGGTGATGATCGCGTAGCAGCGAAGCTTCGTACGATATGCCGGTGTACTACTGACGTCTTTCCTTTTTTTTCTTCGTTGCCTTGAGATTGGCACCACCTTTTTACCAGTAACTTTAGGAAAGCACGCGTTGGTTTTGAACTTAAAGGGCTACTGATAAATGCTTTGTTCTGCTCAAAAATCACCAAGTAGTTGTTAGCTTGCGCTGCGTCTCATCTCGATTCCACTCACTTGGTGCTGTACCTTGTTCATTATCGTACTGCTCTTGACTATTACTTAGACTCGTCTTAGGTTTTTCTAATGTCACCGGCTAATACTTATCTACTTGATTTAAACTTGTCTAACGTTGTCGGGGTGGGATACTCAACTTGACTGCGCTTGATCCAACTTTCGCTCTTGCATTGCAAGATTTGCACTGCACTTCAGATGAATATATACTGTGATTCCCATCAAGCTGCAGGGGTATTTGTAGCACATTTTTTCTCTTTGACGCCGTGACTCTGTTACAGACTCTCTCTCTCTCATTCTATAGGAATTCTATGCGTAATTGCATTTTTACAGGCTTCGGAGATTTATCGCATTCTAGTTAGTATTGGATAGGGAGGACAAACGTTCTTCTTATACACAGTTTCATACTGCACTTGGATACTACTTCAGCACTACTTAAATGATTACTTAGGTGGATCGAATTCGGTAACTGTTTATCTCTTTATTTATTTAAGGTACATGGCCGTTTGTGTCTAAAAGACCGATGAATACAGGTGACCTTCGTTAATTCTCTTATAAGAGTCGCTTGTTTTAGGCGATTCCCAAATTCTGTATTCCCGACCTACCTATCAAGCTTGTTCAATGAATCAAGGAACTTGGAAATCATTGCTACAGAAGTCTTTAATTGGGTTCAATGTTGTACGGTTCTTTGCTCAATTCTTCCTGACCCCCACCCGTGATTGATCCCATTGTTATCACCTCATCTGCATTTGTACAATCCAATTTATTGCTTACACTTCGTAAGTTTCCTTTAACCCTAAGATGACGTAAGCTTCTCTTGCGGCCTTTAGCCTATCATGGCTGAGTTCTGCTACCGCATCTGGTTGTTCCTACGGTCTTGCGTGGCCGCAGGACGTCAAGACGCCCATCAGCATCAAGAACTCTATATCCGGGGTATCATGCCATTTGATTTTCGTCTGTGGTTACAAGCAGGCTGCGTTATCTCTATCTCTACGAAAAGCGACGATATCCTGAACCCGTCTGCTCTCGTAACTCTACTTCTTAAATGGCATCTAGCGTCATCACTTGTGAGGCTGATGAGCCATTCCACCATAACTCATCCCGACGGCTCCCTACCTTCATTGGCTCATGTCTACGTTTGGTATCAGTGTTTATTCGTCTGTTCTCTGTGAGCCACTTTTATGTGCTTTTTAGCACACCACCTAAATGTTTTGTCGGTGTTTTTCTATTTCTCCTCCACCGCTTCTCAACGTGATCGTAGCACAGCCTGAAATAATGCACTGGTGGTATCTGATCTTATTGTGAAAACATTTTGTTTTTGTGTTTGGCACAAAAGTATACAGGATATGTCTGAATTGTGTGGGTTCTTATCCATTACCCTTTTAACTACACTGTTGATATGATATTCTCCGTTACTGATCGGTTATGTTATATTTTTACGAATTCACAGTTTCACCTTATACACCGCAGCTGATTTTCTATGATTTATACACAACCAGTTTGAATCTGAATTTCTTTAGGTACTGCCTCCTTCTCTTCTGTTTGCTGCAACACAGCAAATACTTTCTTTTGACCAAGTTGTCCACTGATGCTACCCCACCCATTGTATTCTACTTCTTTAAATGGTCTTCACTTTACAGCTTTCACTAGGATAATGTTTTGTTATCTTACTATGTTAACCTTTGCGTTTGTCACTGCTTTGCTCGATCCAGTTTGTTCTACGATTGTCACTCATTCAGACTCGCTTATCCAGCCTTTTTCCAATTTTCAGCGACCTCAATAGGTACTACCCGGCGTGGGGTGTTTTATTTCACTAAATGCATCACTTTTTGTTAAAGATGCCAATGCTGAGTGCGCATCATGGCTTTCCTTCAGCCAGTTTCCCAAGATTATGAAGACTAGTTTTCATTTCAGGTCTCTATTTCTCTTGAATCGTCGCTGATGCCGGGAACTCACAGAGCGAGCTCCACACGCATTTCCCAGTCCATCACAAAGTCCCGCTCATCTGATCTGAACAATGAGAATTTACCGGTCACGAGTCCTTCACAACCTCCTCCTCACTTTTACGCAAAAGCAGAGGAGTATTGGAAGCATGTTCCACCAACGATAGACGGAATGCTTGGCGGATACTCCTCCCTGAACGTTCCGGATATTGCGGATTCGCATGCTTTTTTGGAAGAATTTGGACCAACGACAACAGCTTATGCGCTGGACTGTGGGAGCGGAATTGGACGGATCACGAAGCAGCTTCTTTTGCCCCGGTTCACCTTTGTCGATATGGTAGAGGTGACGCAGGCTTTTTTGGACAAGGCAGAAGATTACATCGGTGAAGATTTTGAAAACGTGGGAGAACTCTTTTGCGTTGGGTTGCAGGTTAGTTGGCATGTTCGACCTTCTCGTTGTTCCTACATTTCCATGCATTCGCCGCTTTTAGAGTTCATTAGACAGTGTATGTTCCTCTTTCACCATTCGCTTCGATCAATGTTATATAATATTTGGATACCCTACCAATCACTGCTACCGGATTCAGAGTGTCTGCCCTATATTTCCATAAAGACACCATCTCAACGCCTACCATCATTTGTTTTGCAAGCGCTCGACCTGTCTATTGAAACTGTTTAATGTATGCTGCTACTCGATGTCAATACGGCACTTCGCGATTAGTTTAATACTTTCAGATGAAGGCAGTCGGTGCTGAGAATCGAACTTCATCCGTCGTGGGTTCCGCTTTGTACACTGGAACCTAGCTACTAGTAACGCTTGATATTGGACCAGTTAATTCTTTTTGGATGGGAACGCGCAGTGTTTGTCAAATTCGCATCGCGTAAGCGTGACTCCATACAAATTGCTGTCAAAGCTGAGTGCTTTATATCGCAGAACTCGGTTATTCAGGAACGGACGGGTTATTTGACGAAGCAGGCTTAGCGAAAGTGACAGCTTGATTAGGTTGTAAGAGCCTCGATGTAACTAACTAGCTCAGTTCGATAACTAACAACGTTGCTGTATTCATGAGCTTCTTCCTTTGAATCAGTCAAACAAACTCATTCCAACGCTGCCCAATACGAAGCAATCAGCATCTAGGCGAAGATGCGTATGCGTCAAATCATCTGCTTTGCTCGCTTGTGGCAATCTAGCCGTTTGCCTCGTCATGAAGATCCATATCGTTTTTCTGCTTGAATTATCTCATCACATCCTTCTCTTTTTCCTGACCAACTGCGTCGGTTTGACTGAAGATTTCATGTCCTCTTCCACTCCGTGTGGCCTTTCCTGTCCCTGTCGTATTGTGACCTCACCGGAAACCGTCGTGCGCCTTGCTTGGGGTTCACCTCGTTCCAGGTGTCACCTCAGCTGCACTCGGTTCCATCTGATTATCTTTCCTCCAGGGTTGACTTCATAAGATCTTTCTCCGACCTTCGTGGTCACCATACCTTTCGCTCGTCGACACCCGATATTGGTTGAATCCACACTTCCTCGTTTGTTGCTAGCTCAGGCAACGCACGAGTACCGCGACCGTAATGCCTTTTTTGATCGGTCATCCGTTTTCTTTAATTCATTTGCCGTTGCTCATCCGACGGCAAGACCGCGTGTGAGAATGCAGCTTACGCAGGCATTAGTGTCCTTGTTCTTCCACTGTACAGATGTTGAACTGGACTGAGACCTATGTTCGGTGATGGCGTCTTGCGAATTTCTGATAGCATCAGATATGGGTTCTCATGCTTGATTCTAGCGTTCGATAACAACTTCTTGGGTTTTTTGACCGCCGCTTCCGTTCGACTGGCTATGATACGCGCTGGTTTGTCGATACGAAAATTCCCACTTTTTTGCGACGGTCTGGAATGCAACAATTGTTTCTTGCGGGCCACTGTAGATCATTCTCCGGTATTCAGTGTCTGACGAACTGACATCTAAGCTTGCTAATGACTGCTCCCGTGGTGGTAGTGGTGAGTGACTCAATCTCGAAATAGTCACTGTAGTTATTTTTTAAAATACACGTTAGCTAGAGGTGTAAAGCACCTCAGCTATTGTGCCGAAATACATTACAGAAAAAGAACATAAAAATAACAGTGGTTGGTGAGGGAGGCTAAAAGGGATGGGGAGGGAAAAAGAAACTCACGGCAGGAACGCTACTGAGGTCGGCTCCTAGCCATGTCAGTAAGTGTATCTAGCCAAACGTGTTCATAGTCTTTTGGACCCCAACCTGGGAGCCGTGAAGCTCCAACCGAGGCCAGCTCCGGAGTCTGGGCCTTCATTCCTCTCGACCAAATCACTGTAGTAGTCCAGTGTGATTAAGTAGTCTTTCTAGTTGTCACAGAACAAGTCAACTTTCTGCGATGTTTGATTTGGAATCTCACGCAGCATCATTGAATCTCTGTCCTGGCAAGCCTCATGAAACCCGCATGCTGAACATATTTATACTTGATCTCGAATTTGGCCTGTCATCCCGGGTTACTCTGCTGTAGTTAACACCCTAATGTGCTCGATGAGCGTGTTCTTGCATCTCTCTGCGAAATGAAAATGGGCTAAAAACACGATTTCCTTTGAACAACACACCGTCATACACCGTGTGTTTATCCCAAAAGTTGAAGAATGATGTTAATTCCTTCAGAATTTTGTTCTTTGTAATAGAGAAGTAAGCGGAGCGAATGTCCAGATACGAGGTCGCGCACAGACGTACCGCGGAGCATGTTAGCTGTATGCTGCTTGCGAAGGTCACCAGCACGAGCGTGGAAAGACCTTCGACTGTTTTGCCAAATTTCGGAATCGGCTGCAAACTGATTGGCCAGCAAATACAAGCCCGAGTCAACGGAGGCGAACCATTCTGCCAAATATGGAAAATCCGTGGGACGGAATTAACTCATATGGGCTGAGAGCCAACCTCTTCCAAAATTAGTATGTTTCGTTCACCAATAAATAGAACTGACTTGTCGTGTAGAATAGACTTCTTGTTTACCGAGCCTTGGCCTTCTGTATCCCCTCGGTTGGTTGGGCGCGTGACTGAGCAATCAGGCGGTCGTAGTCTCGCTGGCGCAAATTAGCAGCAGTGCAGCAGTACGAAGGCAGCTTTACAACACTTTGTATCTGGCCATCCACACAGAATCACTTTTCGCAACATCTTACAAGTTGCGTCTGACTCCGTGTGACGCCTTCTTTCAGGTGATCTGCCGTTACTGCTAGATGCTGTACCAGGTATACTGCCTCGTATTTTTCTCGCTGGTGTTCGACTATCGGAAGACGAGCTCTCGACAGCGTCCGCGATAAACATTTGCGTCCGCAGGGTGTACACAAGATCCATGTATTTTTTGAGCCGGATAAGCATACGTTGAAAGCGTCGAGGGACACTGTGCAATGGTTTATTGGCTATTGACACGATTGTTTTATAGTCAATATACACAGTAGTCTTCATCCCAGAGGTGCAATCGTTGAATCGCTCCATCAGGTAGGCAACGGTAAGCATCTCCTCGATTTGTACATAGCGCTGTTCCGCTACTGTGAGCTCCCGACCGCGAAAATCCAAGGGCTTGCCATCCTGCATTAGAACGGCACCTATTCCGCTCTTATCGCTGTCTCACTGCACCTCCAGAGGCAGAGATGCACCGTAGTAGCCGAGTACTGGTGCACAGTTGATGAGATGCATGATGATTGTAAAGACAGCCTCCTGCTCCTCTCTCCAACGGCACTTTATGCCTTTGTGCGTCCGCCTCTGGATGCGTGTCATGATTTCAGCTAGTCTTTGTTAGAGTCGGCTCAAATAGTTGACCATGCCATTTAAACGACTAACAGCCCTGACGTCCTTAGGTTTTGGCATCTCCTGCACTGCCGTGTTCATCTCTTTACCAATTTTTATTCCCTCAGATGTCAGAACGTGCCCACGAAAAATCACTTCTGGTTTCCGGAGCTCAACTTTCTTGCGTTTGAGTTTCATCTTCTTTTGAACGCAACGCTGTAAAAAGTGGTGCAGATTGACCTCATGTTCCTGCCCACCGACTGCAGTCCTTATGCTGCCAAGGACACGTTCTATCACAAACTGAACGCGCTATTACGCAGTGCTACAAGTTCAGATATCATAGTACTTGCAGGCAATATGAACGCTCTTCAGAAGCTCAACTAAATGGTACATATGGACTTTACTCCGAAAGGACTAACAACGACGAGCGTCTGTTGCAACTGTGTGCGGAGCACCAGCTATTTCTTAGTAGCACCGCTTTTAGACAGTGGGCGCCGAAGTGCCACTTGGCATCCTCCTGTAGCTGGCGAGCGATGGACCCAACTTGATCACGTTGCCATAAGTTACAGGTAGCGTAGTTCCATCCTGCATTGCCGCTAGTTCTGGAATACCTGCGTCGACTTAGATCATGCCTTGGTACTTTACCGGGAGTTTGAGGCACATACTATGTATGCCCGGTCACCGCTTACCTAGGAGGGTCTTTTTTAGTCTGCCATATATAAGGTGCGCATGGCTCGAGGTTGACACAAGTTGACTTGTCAGCGTAAAATGAAGGCCCTGACGACTAAACTGAGTGCCGTCGTTCCGTCTCCTTTTCCGGGCTGGAGTCCACGTGACCCGTCTTGTGCTTGTCTCGAGACTCAGGTCTCACACGAATTCCTGGGCACCGCTTCGCAGTTATTATGTTGATGGTAGCACCCGTGTCTAACTGGAGACCCACGATCTCGTCGCCAGCCAATAAACTTGCATAGACGCATTTCTTTGGTCCCTTCCGCGACACGTTGCTGATTGATTGTTCAGAGTCGGAGGACGTTGTGTCACCATTGAGTGCATTCACCTTCGGAGACTGAGAACATCGAGCGAAATGATTCCGTCTGTCATTTTTGGCGCAAATTCGGCCCTAAACTGGCCATTGATCACGATTTTTATGGTGTCGCGCGGCACAGAATTTACAAATTTCTTGTATCTTGGTAACAGGCCTCGCAATTTTTTCGGGCAAGTTATATACGATACATAGCTCTGCATTAGACTGCAACCGCATTTGTTGGATGTGGTGGGCAGATGACGAGTCACTGAGGCACATATCAAGGCATTGTCTAAGCGATAAATGCCTTTGCCCCAACAATCGCTTGCTGATACTTTAATCATTGATCCCCAGTACGATTCCATACCGGATGAGCCTGTCAGCCATAAAAGGGCAAAAATTACAGGAACGAGCCAAGTTCTTCAGCTCCGTAACATGGTTCTCTGTAGTCTCGTTCGGGTGCCTGTTTCGAATAAAAAGAGATACCAGTGATACGTCTCATTAATCTGGCCCTCGCAGAAATCGCCGAATTTTCGGATGACTGTTTTCATATCAGCTGAGTCTTCGTCCTTTTCGTACTGCATCGTTTCCTGGACGTGGCTTCATCTCCGATCATATGTCAAA